TTTCAAAATGAAGATTTGGTTTTGAATAGAATTCTTCCAAGCCATCTGATAATAGGAGAAAGTGGACTCCAAATTAAGAAAGGCCATATGTTATGAAAAGAGATTTCTCAAGTGGAACATTAATATTAGTAGAGATGGATGGAGATGATTTGCCCAATCCTATGAATTCTAATATTGTGAAGAAATGTTACGCTTAAAAAAAAAAAAAAAGAAAAAAATAAATGAAAAAAAAAAAGAAAATAGAATGAATGAAAAAAGAGAACTTAAATAAAAAATCTTAAAAAGGCAATTTGAGTAAAAAAAGGTTCATCTAAGTTAAAAACCTGAAAAGGTGGCTTAGATGATGAGGATATAGCATTGAATTTGGGAATTCACCAACATAGAAGATAGCATGTTCTAATGATCTCTAAGTTGTTATGTGCATCAGGTGGTTGAATTTTCGAAAAAGACTTCAAGATATGTTATCATGATTATTTGATTATTAATTTTAGGAGTTGTTACCCCATACCCATTTTTGTAACCATTATTCTTTATTAATGGCCAAAATCATTCTACCATTCTTTTAAATAAGAGATATTTCATTTTATTCCTTGTGTCTCTCTTTTGTTAACTATTTCCCATTTATTCCCAATCCATCATTTAGCTTTTCCCTTTAATACATTGCAATGGAAGAAATGTGTGATTGTATTTTTAATTTTTGAAATTGAAATAATGATTGATAAATGAATGTAGCATGAAAGACTTTTACATTAGTTTGGAAATGTTGAGAGTGATCAAGGCATATATGAATGTTTAGTTCCTAGTAAGGACATTGAATTTGGAGAAAAAAGATTTCTTTAAAAGAAAATATGGGTGTTAAAATTGAATGAGAAGGATGATTGCGAATTAAATTGATTTGGTCTTAGTGCTTAAAGATTGAAGAGTTCAAGATCTAAAGAAAACATAGGCTTGAGAACCTGTACACTACAATTGAAAAAATATTAATTGACATTTCTATAGCATGCATTGCATTTAGGAATGTCTAGTGCATGAATCTAGGAAATAGGGATATTACAATATCCACATGGAGAAGATAAATATGAGGACTTTTTGGTGAAGGAATTTCAAATTCTCGTTTGGAAAGAAACTTATGAGGTAAAATTCTAATCCTTGAAAAAGGATATTTCAAGAAAATCAATCATGGACAATAAAGATTTTTCAAAAAGAGTTATGAAGCCTTTGTTCAGAAGAGTATTTTTGATATTAGGAACAATTTATAAGACCTTCAGGCATAATCTCTTAAAATTTTTTTAGACATGATCTATGAGACCTTTGGGCATGATTGTTAAAAAAAAAAAAAAGAGAGCTTATATTTATTTTTTAAATAGTCATTAAGCTTCTGTTTATAAGAGCCTTATTTATTTTTTTAAAAGTTATTAATTCTCTGTTTAGAGGAGCCTTATTTATTTGTTCAAAAGTCATTAAGCCTCTGTTTAGAAGAGCTTATATTTATTTTTTTCAAATGTCTTTAAGTCTCCATTTAGAGTAGCTCTATTTATTTTTTAAAAGTCGTTGAGCCTCTATTTAGAGGAGCCTATATTTATTTTTCAAAAGTTATTGAGCCTCTGTTAAGATGAGTTTTTATGTTTTTCAAAGTATTAAATCTCTATTTAAATGAGCTATTATGCTATTCAAGATGTCTAAGTATCTTTTTTTAAAAAAATGAAAAACAAAAAAAAAAATGTCTCGAGTTGATTCTTGTTTAGGTTTTCTACGTCTTTGCACAATTTCTAATTCAAAAAAAGTGCGCAAAGAGGGACAACTGTAGACACTCCAATTTGTCTGGGGTTGTAATTATTTAATTTGTTTTGGTTAAATAAATAAATGAAAAATGAAAAAAAAAGGTGATTGAGTTTGTATGAAACTATTTGTTTGAATTGTAAAGTTAAAGTTTGAAAATATAATTAAAGGGAAATTAAAACTCTGTTTGATATAGGGTTCTCTTAATTTAAATCCTATAAAAACAAACCCAAATCAAGTAATAGAACACATAGATTATGAGCACATAATAAAGAACACATGAATAGGTAAAAAATAACATAGCAAAAAGCATGAGATTTTTGTTTTAGAATAAATTTTGGCAGAAAAAGTATTTGGGTTTTAGAATCAGGAATGTTTGATTTGGTATTGCTAAGGCATTGAAAGAGAGATCTAGTGTTAGAATAAGTTTTCTAGAAATTATCTGAAAAATTTTCATATTCCGACGAAAGTTTTCAGTGAAATTCATATTTTTTGGAAAAGAATTCCAAATTTCAACTAGTTTTCGGTAAGAAACCCAAATTCTGGCTATTTTTCAATGACCATTCCCAGTATCCAGTTGGAATCTCAGTGAAAATGTTTAGATTCCAATGCTATTTTCCAAAATCTGATGAAACTTCAATCGGCATTCATCTAGTTTCTAGAGAAAGAATAAAGAAAAGAAAACAGGAGAGAGACAGAGGAAAAATAAGAAATCTAAGGAAAAAAAAATTGGCCCTTTTATACCCCACTAAAACTACGTCGTTTTGACATTGAGTTTTGCCTAAGATCTGCGTGTTTGCAAATGGGTAACCCAACCCATAGCACAAACCTGTCCCTAACCTATGTTCCAGAATCTTTGGCTCCAGTCGAAATGAGTTGGGAGTCATCCGTTCCAGCCACTTTTCCTTCTCGTAGTTGAGCCACACATTCTAGCCGAGCCAAGCCGGTTCCGTTTTGGTATTTTTATTTTATTTTATTTCTTTTGTTTTAAAGTATTGTTGCATAATTAAATTTTAGAAAACATTAGAGAAGAAAATTTAAAAAATAGAACAAAATAAAACATTAATAATTTTTTTAGAATAAATAATAATTATCCAATGATAGAATTCTTAGAAATTGCAAAAGGTTTATTTTTATAAAATTTCTAGGTGAAAATTTTTTCTAAATTTTTCTCAAATGAAAAAAAATTTAGATAAAGTTTCAATAATAATAATTAATATTTATTTTCAATTTTTAAAAAATAAAAAAAATAAATTTAATAAAATTTTGGAATTAAAATACTAATTACTCAATAATAAAATTCTTAGAAATTTCAAATGGTAAATTTTCTAAGAAATCTCTAGGTGAAGAATTTCTATATATTTTATCCAAATGGTGAAATAATTTAGTTGAAATTTCAATACAAGTAATTGTATTCTTTTCCAAATAAAAATTTACAATGTAACTTAAAAATTTGGGTGCAAATATTTGACAATTATCCATGAATGAGAATCTAAGAAATTTCAAATGGTAAATTTTTGAAAAATTTCTAAAGAAATCTCTAGATGAGAAATTTCTTTAAATTCAACTCAAATGGTAGAAGAATTTAAATGAAACTTCAAAAAATAATTATCATATTATTTTCTTTTCAACGATTAAGAAACTAACAAGAGTTTACATTCCAAATTTAACCCAAATGGTGAAAATTTTGGAAAATGAAAGAATTTATTTTTTTCTAAATAGACCTAAATGATGGGAAATTTAGAAATAAAACTTGTAAAATAAAAAATAAATTTTAGATGATAGAATTCTTAGTAATTAAAATGGATGATTATCTAAGTAATTTCTAAATGACAAAATATTTTTAATTTAGGCCCAAATATTGGAAGAATTATAGATATTTTTTATAAACAAAAATGATTAAATTTTTTCAACAATGGAGCCTTTTCATAAAAAAAAAAAATGGGATTCTTGAATACTTTCAAGGTGAGAAAATATTTTTAAGAATTCTATCAGATTTATGGATAAATATTAAGAATTATTTTCAATATTAAATTTAAAAGTATTATAATCAAGACATTAGGATAATTTAAAGTAAAATGGTATTGTCCTTCGAATGGACATGTGGGGGTGTTATAATCTTCTTTATATGTAACCGAACTCCCGAACTTTATTCTGATTAGTAGACCAAAACTTATTCTTTAGGAACTTTTAGTTAAGCTTGGGAGCTCTTTAAAATGATGGTGACCATCACACCTTAATAAAAGATTGGTAGCAATTCTTATTGTTAAGTCTAGTTATAGATTTACGGATCTATACATTATGACAAGTATTATTTTTTAAAGATTTCAGTTCAATCATTTGTAATGCATAAGGACTAATTTTTTAAAAAAATAATATTATATGGACTAAATTTCTTAAAAATAATATTACAAGGACTAAATTTCTTTAAATAATACTATAGGGATAAATTTCTAAAAGTAGAAGAGTAAAGGGATCTATGGCACATTTTTACCTTTATATTTAACTAGGGAAACTAGGAAAGTAGCAGAAAAAGAAAATTTTCTTGTTTAAACTTCTATAATGTTTATCCAAGATAATCATAACAAACGGATGGATAGCTTAAGTAACAGAGAGTGTGCTCATTTTTTTGTTAGTTAGGTTCGAATTCGAATTCGCTAGGGGATTATATGAAGATAATTTCTTATGAATTTGTTAAATTCGGTGCAGATAAATCTGTTTGCACCGATTTGGAGAGTGAATCTACTGGATAAAGCCTGTGATCCCATTGCCGCTAAATTAAAAAGATAGATATATGTTTCTAGCTTTTTGTTATCAGCAGTTTTTCTTTTAGCACAAATTATAGGTTTTTCTTTTAGAAGCACTAGGCATTTAAAGTTCCCGTGAGTGTTAACCGATCCTTGTACATTATTCATGATGACAGAAGTCTGATTTGCTTCCTTCCTGCGGTCTCTTCAGACAGGAAAGATCATTATGGTTAGAAGACTGTTTCTTTCAATTACCTGGAAAATCTGTGAGAATGCATATGATCATGTGACAGTTATGTGACAGGAATCTGTATCCTCAAGCACAAAAGACCACCCTACTCATTGCGGTAACTTAAATGCCAAACTTGTTAGTTGAGAGCCTACTTTCAGGTAATTTGGCAGATAAATAAGCAAGATTTCTATGGTCCAAGATATAATTTTTTTTTTTTTCTGAGAGAATTAGTGGAGCTTGAAATGGCTTCTGGATCATCTAAACCAATGTTTGTTTTGTTTGTTCTGCTCCAGATGCTACCAAGCACTATTCAATCAAAGCCAACTACTCAGACATTGGAAAATTTCCGAAGTCTAGTGGGATACCGTAAAGGTCATACTGTTGAAGGGCTTTACGAGCTCAAACAGTTTCTCAGGAAACTTGGTTACATAAATTTCGATGATGCAAGCAACAATGGACACAAACATGGGAACGATAATGAGTTCGATGACCATTTGGATTCTGCTATCAAAGCATACCAGGCTAATTATCAGTTGAATGCCACGGGCAGCCTAGATGCTGATACTCTAAAACAAATGATGAAGCCAAGATGTGGCATTGCAGATGTGATCATGAATAGCAATAATTCCAAGTTAATCAATCGTTTTGGAGCCTCTCAGTATGAATTCTTTCTTGGAAATCTGAAATGGCCACTCTCAAAGACTCATTTAACCTACCACTTTCGTTCCAGTGTCCACGTAACTGTCGCAGAAAACACAAGGTCCGTTTGTTCGCGAGCTTTCCAAAGATGGGCAAATGTGAGCCGCTTTACTTTCGAGGAAATAGCTGAAGACCACATTGCTGACATTGAAATTGGCTTCCACAGTGGTGAGCATGGAGATGGCTACCCCTTCGATGGTCCACAAGGAACTCTAGCCCATGCCAGTCCACCAACTGGTGGAAAGTTACACTATGATGCAGATGAAAATTGGAGCACCAACCCTGGTCCTGATGAGATTGACTTGGAATCTGTCACAGTTCATGAAATCGGTCACCTTCTAGGGCTTCAACATAGCTTGGTCCCTGATGCAGTCATGTATGCGTACTTTGACTCTGGGATTACAAAGAGGGGGCTGCACAGGGATGATGTTCACGGTATTCGTGCCTTATATGGCTTATTATGATAAGAAAAATCTACACTAATAAGAGATGATCTATGAATGTCAATGTGTAATCTCTACCATCTTGGCTCAGATCCTATTTCTCACATTTTATGTTTATTAAGAATCTATTTGTAAGGATCAATTTGGTTATTCTATTTCTGTTTTCTCTATTTGTAATGCTCCAATCTCATGTTGAATATTCTGAAGATCCGTATATATGTAAGACTTGAATTCATATTTGTGAAACATCTTTTATAAAACAATCATAAAACCTTTGAATCAAAATAAATAATATCTCACTAAAAGCGGTTTCCACACTCTTTACTTTTCTTTGAAAATTCAAGACAAACTATCTTACGGGCGGGTAAGAGGAGTGAATTTTTTACCAGTTAAGAGTGTAGAGCACATGGATCTTACACTGATTCACAAGTCACAACCAACAATGAGGCTGCAGTAATACAGGACAACAAATAAACCAAAAGTTGTTGAATTCTTTTACTAACAGATCCTGAATGATTTTGTTTCATTTAAACCTTTTGATCTTTTCCTTTATATTGTGGCGATCTACCTCTGTACATGATATTCTTTTCACTCATGGCTAACGAATGACGAAACTAAAGCACGTGAGAACGAAGATTGTTTCACCTGCCAAGCAACAACCACAAAACCTGTATCTTGCTAGTTTGGTTAAACTAGAACAGTGAAGGAAAATATTGACCATGGGTTGCTTGGGAATTCGCCCACCATCAAAGGAAAATACCGAACAACGTCGAGCTTCATTGTTAGAGGAAGATTAGCCTTAATAACCAGTCAAATAAGTACCATGGCAATTAATGAGCTTTTATGTGTATTAGGACTAGCGTAAATCTACACCTGCTTGTGTCACACCCTGTGTGAGAACCATTGAGACCAAGGCCCAAGCACCAGTGCACAGAGCCCAGACCCTCGCTCGAGCACTAGGTCACGAGAATGAATTCCTGCGAGAGCTACCTGATGCTGAGCCTGAGAACCATTCAAGAGAAGCTTCTAAAAAACCCCAGAAATGTGGTGTGGACACTGAAAGTGTGAAGGCTCTGGATGCGCCAGGAAACAGACCAGCCGCGTAGGCACCAAACATTCTAGAAGAGTCAGATGCGAACACAGACTCGAGCACTATAGCGCTTAGGCTAGGAAGCTTTTGGAAGGCGTTAGGCGTGAGCACGTAGCGAGAGTGCCTAGGACCTTTGAGACCCAGTGTTTTACAGAGTGTCCAGAACCAGTTGCTTTCTAGAAAAGTTATAATCAACCTTATGTTTGTCTTGGAGCCTTGGAACTCTCTAACACTTGGTTCTTTAGTGACCACATAGACCATGGGGCTCAAGAATGAATAGGGGTGCCCCTCCCTCATGGAACTAACTTGTGAACCAACAAGCTACTCAAGCACATTTATGTACATAGCCACATTCTTCCAGTAATTGAAAAGATCTTGTATTCTTTCAACCACTGCCTACTTAGTGTGTTTTAGCATTCAATTGTCTCTAGGGTCCAACTAGACCTTGGTGAGTGGCACACTCACTCAACCTTGTTGTAGGCTGACTTGGGCACATGAATAATAGTTTCCCACCTAAGGTGACATGGTTGCTACGCTTTGGTATCAGAGCACAGTTTGGTGTATGACCCTGATCCAAGACAATATCTGCTTTTGATATAAGCCACCAATACACTGAAGAGCAAGAGACTCACAAGACATACGTTGCTAAAAAGGGCAAGAAAAGCACCAATAGGGACATAATCTCGGCCTTTGATGCCCAATTGGCTAAGGTGGAGTTGGCCATGATTGAAATGCGAGACAAGTATGAGGATCATATAGAGGAATTGGTCTTGGCCAAAAAGAAAATCATGAAAGAGTTAAGGCAAACTCTCACTGATGAGATCAAAAGCCTCACTCGTAAAAACTCTACCTTGGAAACCATGGTGGAGGCCATAAAGGAAGAGATGGAGTAGCTCGAGAGAAAGCTCTCTGCATGTAAGGTAGCTGTAGAGGGAGGCATACTCGTAATAGCTACTAGGAATAGGGTGGAGGTTCCCAAGTGGAAGGAGTTCAAGGGGACACAGTTTGCAAAGGACATAGCCAATTTCTTATGGAATATGAAGCATTATTTTCGTGCAATAGGCATTGAGGAAAACATTGCTTAAGTAAGCACCGCTTCTATGTATTTTGTGGACATCGCACTTCTATGGTGGTGTCATAGGTCTAAAAAGGCTAAACGCGAAGGTGTTGCCATTGGAACATGGGAAGAGTTCCATAGGGAGTGTATGCAGCAATTTACCCTTAATATGCCACAGAAAAGGAATATGTCAACCTACAATGACTCACCTAATAGGGAGAAGTGCAAGAGTATGTTCGAGAGCTCCTGAAACTCATGCTCCAAATTCCTAACCTTGGGGAGAACAAGGCCCTCTTCACATTTATGGACGAGCTCAAACCATGGGCTAAGCAAGAGCTAATGATGATAGATGTCTAGGACCTTACTCGAGCCATGATCGCCACTGAATTTTTAACGAAATTCAAGAAAGGGAACAAGTCCAGGTTTTTCAAGCTTAAAGGCAAGGGCAAAGGTGAAGGAGACAAGAACAAAAGTAGTAGTGGCTAATTACTAATGCACAAATGGAAGTCTTCCAAAGAAAGAGACAAGAGGAAAGACAAATGGCCAGTGACCAGGGACGGGCCAATGAATTCTTTCCTGTGTAACAGTTAACACTGAGCCGAGAACTATCCCAATAGAGCCAATCTCATGGCCATTGTCAAGGGGTATGAGAAGCAACCCAAAAAGGAAGGACTAAAGCTTGGTTTAATCGTGCTAAGTTCTATTTTAGCCAAGAAAGGGTGCAAGAGAAAGGGGCTCATGTTCACAAAAATCTTAGTTACGGGCAAGCACTTGGACCCTCTGGTGGACATAGGTGAGTCTAATCTCTTCATGTCTTAAGGAGTGGCCAAGAAACTTGGGCTCAAGATCAAGAAAGGGGCTAGATGGATCAAGACCGCCAACTCTAAGGTTGTGTGGCTACATTTCTGTTGCTTTTTACTAGCAATCCTAATATTTTTTCTCTGTCATAAAAATTATTTCGTATATAATAAAAATTCAAATATTACCAACTAAAATCATAAAATACCTTTATTATTAAAAATAATATTAAAAGTTATAAATTAGTATCTCTTACTTTCTTGAGAACTAAAATCTAACTAATTGTTCATATTGCCACCTAATAGCATTATGAGGTAAATTTTCTATTACAGCCTCTAAAATACTATTTTAATCAAAATACTTTTTCTTCAAATTATAATTATAGTCTTTTCATTTCTTTCTAAATGACTTAAGCACAAATGAAAAATGTATTTCAAATACAAATCTTGACTATAATAATACAAAAAAAAGTTATAATCAATAAATCAAATTTAAAATAATTAATTTTTTTATATGTAATTAATTATACTAATACCTCAATAAAGTTTAAAGCTTCGCCTTTAACGTTTGCTAGAACTTTATGCCACGTTTCATAATAAATAGACAATTTCATTCCATTATAGGCAATCCTGCCTAAAAATCCAGCCAATAGTTGAGACTCTTCACCAATTGATTGTCTATAAGAGTTTGCAAATATTACAATACATTCATTCGAAAGTAGTGCAAACAATTCCCTCAAAGTTATCCAACATGTGGTCCTTCGTTGACTGTTGTTATCAGCTATAAAAAATAAAAAAAGTCAATTAGTAAATTACCAATACTTTAATAATTATAATCGAAATCTAAATATGAGATTTATGATACATGCATTCAAATTAGAAGCAGAATCAATTGACGAGATACTATCTAAACCTAGACCGCACATATTGCTATATCTAGTATTAGTTAAAGGGTTAGAAGTAACTGAGTTAGAACCGACAATAGGCACATTCCCATCAAAAAATTTAGTCTATGATCAAGATCAATATGTGCTGCATATAGTTTTGAGCTCATATCTTTAATATGAATTCCTTTCAATCTACTCATCCGCATTGTAGCTTAGCTACATCATAAAACCAAATCAGTTAAAAGTTGAAAAGTTTAGACATTGTAAATATAACAAACTATATATAAAGAACATATTTAAAGATATAAAGACATTAAGAAGTTAAGAAATCATAACCAACGATATATAAATAGCATATCGATTAATTAAATTAAAAGATAATGTATGATTTATAATACAATAAATATACAAAAGCAAATGCCACATAAATTACATACAAATATTTATTACATTATGTTTGAAACACTTTAATTACAAAATATGAATAATCCATCATGGTTCATAAATGTCTTTATCAACATTTTTCGCGAACCTACTAAGTAGAGATACTAGAGATATTTTCATCTAAGTTTTGTTCAGCAAAAAAAAAAGCATTCAATTCCATGTTTAACATCATCTCTGATATCTGACTCCACATCAAATAAGTCTCTAAATGTGTTACGAAGAACAACAAATCAACCCAATCCTTTCGTGTTTTAGAATAAAAAAAACTTATTTGACTTAAAAGGAAAAAACACAAGGTTCATTAATGTGTTGCTGTCTAGTGTGAATTAATCAAGAAAAATTTACAATTATAAATCTAAATTGATCTTTCTTAATACCTCTCGTACTATTCACATTATCCCAATCACACTAAAATAAGACAACCTTTCACTTGCAATAATAATCCAACTCAATGATGTCATTAATCATATCATAATTGTTAACATTTCCTTCTAAAAGGTTTGTGTTCCTAGCACTAACATAGCTAGTTGTTGATGAAGTAACAACAACTTTTGAATGTTGTGTTCTTCTAAATCAGTCAAGAGATTTAGTGTCAAATCTAAATCAATTGATGATGAAACCTTTATGTCATTTTATAATTCTGTTTGAACCTTATGAAAGACATTTTACCTCTTCACTAACAAGCCTTCCACTCTAAACCTACAAAGGTGGAATAAATATATATGTTAGTAATTTTATTTATACCC